CTCCCTCCCTGCCTCTCTCTTTAAAAAAAAATTTTCCCTGCCCTGGCCGGTTTGGCTCAGTGGTTAACGTGTCCGTCCACGGGCTGAAGGGTCCCAGGTTAGATTCCGGCCAGGGTCATGTGCCTTGGTTGCAGGCTCAATCCCCAGCCCTGAGTGGGGTGCATATGGGAGATGGGGGCAACCAGTCGATGTGTCTCTCACATCAATGTTTCTCTCCCTCCTCCGCTTTCTCTCTCCTCCTCTCTCCCCACCCCTTCCACACTCTGAAAAGCAATGGAAAAAGTATCCTCAGGTGATACTTTTTAGGGTAAATTTAGGATAAAAAAAAATTACCCTAAATTTCTTACAGTAATTATTATTTACATTTTTACATTCATTACTTTAACCTATTTGAAATTTATTTTTGCTTCATATATTCTGGTTCTTTTATAAGGTACATATATATGTATTTTTTTTTATCAGTACAGAGGTTTTTTTCTTTTTACACTTCTCATGCCATGAATTCATAGGGAATGGTTCCAGCAGCTCAGGCTCCTTTCCATTGGTTCTCACAAAGTGAGCTCCTGTGGGTGGAGCAGGCTGATGCTTCAGTTGAACCCAGGTACCTTTCTCTTTCACTTCCTTCTTTTTCTGATCATCTCCCTTCACACGTTCAGGAAGCTGACTCAGCTCTTAGATTGATTAATATGCTCAATACGTACATTAATTCTCTTGGCAAGAATTTTGCCCTTGTTTGCTCACAACAGTGTCCACCGCATGCTGGGTGACATTGTGGACTCTTCCAGTTTTGCCCTGGTAGCATCTGTGGGGCATTCCTTCTTGAACCATTTCCATTCTCTTGATGTCTACAGTGTCGCTGTTCTTGTAGATTTGCATGTATGTGGCTAAAGGAACAACTCCATGTTTTCTAAAAGTCCTAGAGAACATACAGCAGCACCTCTCCTCCTTCCCTTTGTGTTGGTCATTTTGATGAATTACTGGAAGATGGCGGTTCCAGTCAAGAAGATGGTACATTTATTTTTATAATTGTTATATCTTGGTGGATTGACCCTTTCATCATTAGAAAATTTCCCTCTTTGTGTCTAGTAGCAATTTTTGTCTTAAAGTATATTTTTTGTCTGATGTTAATATAGCCGTTCCGGCTTTCTTTTGAATACTTTTTGAATGTCATATCTTTGTAATCCTTATATGTTCAACCTGTTTGTTCCTTGAGTCTGAACTGTGTCTCTTGTGGACATATAATTGAATCATGGTGGTTGTTTTTTATGCATTCTTCCAGTCAGTTCCAAACTGCCCCCTCTGGAGGTTGCCAGGTTGCTGGTTTTCACCATGACTGGGTTTTTGGTTTTCAAGCCTGCCACAAGGCAGGAGAGAGGGCATGAGAAAACACCACAAACACTCGCTGTTTTTACAATTCAGTTTTCTTAATTCATCATAGTCATCCATTTTTCTTAAATGCTTCCTGGATTGCTACAAGCCTTTGGTTAATTTGCAGAGTTCTGAAAAAGTTGAGTTGGTCGCTTTTGCTACTTTTCTCATTGCTTTCACAAGGCAGAGAATTTCCAGAAGTCCTTACTCTGCCTTTTCTGCTGACATCTGTCTGGCATTTACTTCTGTTATGGGATGAAATAGGGATTTAACTTTTTTTTCCTAGATGGATAACCTGTTTCACGTAGTTATTATGTAAGTTATACTTTCCCATCTTTTTTTGTTTAAGTTTCTTCATGTACTTGAATATGTCCCTGGACTTGCTTCCCCCTCCCCCCCAATAAATTTGTTAAAAGGAAATAATTCATTGCCATCTTAGCCAAGTATTGGCTATGTGGACTTGAGCAAGTTACTTCATCTCTCTAAGCTTCTGTGTTTTTATCTATGACATGGTGATGATGACCTCATGATGTTGTTGAAAAGATTAAATGAGCAAATGTTATCAAGTACTTTGCATGGACTTGGTATATAGTAAGTTCAAATATTTTAATTTTATCGATATTCATAAACACTTACATTTAATGTGGTGAGTATGCAAAAGTGACTCTCTTCTTATCCTTTAACTACAGTCTTGGATTATATCAATGGAGTGATAAAGTAGTTCAAAAAGTGGAGAGATTATGGGATGTTCGAGATAACAAGATAGTTCCTCACACTGTGTATCTCCTAGTAACACCTCGTGTTGTTGTAAGTATTACTAACTTATTAATGTCTCATGAGCCATTAGCTCTTTTCCTTCATAATGGGCCTTTCTTTACTCATCATTATTGTTTAAAAGCATATGATTAAATTTTAGAGCCTGTAGTGGGAAAAATAATATAAAAGCAGTACAATGAAACTACAGGCCCAGAAGAATCTGAGGAAATGGAAATTTGGCAGTGACTCTCCTGGTTCCCATTCTACCCACTGCTTTAAGCCAGTGCTCCTCTGTTTTGATACCTCTTAGGATTTGCATAGTTGCTGGTCATTTAATCTGGAGTCTGTATTAGTCAGAGCTCTCCAGAGAAACCAACAGGATGTGTTGACTTGGGGGAAGAGGGAAGGAAAGGGATTTATTTTAAGGAATTGGCTCATGTAATTGTGGAGGTTTAGAGAATCCATAATCTGATAGAGTAGGCTGGCAGACTCAAGACTCAGGGAAGAGTTGTAGTTTGAGTCCAAAAGGCAGTCTGCTGACGGATTCCTTCTTGCTCAGGTGAGGTCCATCTTTGTTCTATTATGGCCTTTAACTGATTGCATGAGGCCCATTTATAAATTTGCTTTACTCAGAGTCCACTAAGTTCAGTGTTAATCCCATCCAGAAACATTCTCACAAAAATATCCAGAGTAATGTTTGACCAAATATCTGAGCGCTGTGGCCCAGCCAAGATGACATAAAATTAACCATTACATGCTTATGTAATGACAGAAACTTATTCTCTCATTCTTCTTCCTTAACTGAACATAGCTCTCTACAAGCTTTCTGAACTTTTGCACTGCTCTTGGCATATTTTCCATCCTGGAAGTCTCTAACTGGAGGACAGACAGAACCAAATGAACAAAATTGTATTCTAATAAACAACTTATTTTTTCTACAAATACTGTATCCATAATAAGAGCAGTTTATACCTACATTAACATTGTTGACACAGGGTTACAAATGGCAGTCATACTAATATATAACGTTTTTGAAATATATTTGACTTAAAATCAACATCTTCAAATAGAAAAAATATGAAGAGCCCTGGCCGGGTGGCTCAGTTGGTTGGAGTGTCATCCCATACATCAAAAGGTTGCAGGTTTGATTCCCAGTCAGGGCACGTAGGTAGGTTGTGGGTTTGATCCCTGGTCAGAGCATGTATGGGAGGCAACTGATGATGTTTCTCTCTCACATTGATGTTTCTTTCTCTCCGCTTCTCTCTCTTAAAAAAAAAAAAAATCAATTAAAAATAAAAACATATCCTCGGGTGAAGCTAAAAAAAAGATACGCACGCGTGGCCCTTGCCAGTTTGGCTCAGTGGTTAGAGTCGGCCTGTGTTCTGAAGGGTCCCTGGTTCAATTCCAGCCAAGGACACACACCTCAGTTGTAGGCTTGATCGCTGTTCCTGGTTGGGGCGTGTGCTGGAGGCAACCAATCGATGTGTCTCTCTCACATTGATGTTTCTCTCTCTCTCCCTTCCACTCTCTGAAAAGCAATGGAAAAAATATCCTCAGGTGAGGATTAAAAAAAAAATCTACATATATGTAAAAAGAGAAAATATGAAGAGGAATATTAATTTACTAGCAGAGTGTGACAGTATCGAAATACTTTATATTAAAAAGAACATTTTTTAAAAGATTTTTTTTCTTCTCACCAATGATTTTTAATGTCCACTTTATTGCATCCAGTGTGATAGTTTGCCATTATCTTATTGCACTTTTGTAGGGTTTATATTTCTTTCTGATTCTTAGGATGAAGCACGCAAACATTTTAACTGTCCAATTCTGGAAGGAATAGAACTTGAAAATCAAGGTGGTATGGGCACTGAGCTCAACCATTGGGAAAAGCGGTTATTGGAGGTCAGTTTACTTTAAAATTTTACTAGATATGTTTTTTTCTTTCTTTAAAATGTTACTAGACATGTGTTTTTTTCTTATTCATGGTAAAAGTAATTCAAACAGTGTAACAGAGTATAAAGAAAAAAAAAATTAAGTCCCTTTTTTCCTTTAGCTTTCCAGATCCACTTTCCCAAAGTAATCACTTTTTAAGTTTTTTGTATATCCTTTCAGAAATATGAACTAACATACATACTTTTTGAAAAATCAGTTCATACATTTCTACAACTTTCTTCACTTAATGATACATCTTAAACATTTCTCCAAGGTAGAAAGTGCTTCCACTGTAATGCAATGTATGCTTTCCTGAAAAACACTCTTTCTTCAAAATTGAACACTAAAAATAGCAAGGCTTATGGGGGGAAAAAATACCAGAGCACTAATAAAAGCAATAAATCATAATAAAAGTACTAGCTTGGTTTAAAAAGACATATTCCCAATAAATAAACTACTATATTTACTCTAGCACTTTTTTACATTAAACAACAATAACAAAAAGTAGTGATAGCTGGATGGGAGATTATAAATCTGAGCAATGGAGGAAAAGAGTAAAATTGTACAGAACCATGCAATAAGCACTTTCAAGTCAGAGCCTCTCACCATACTAAGCTAAGTGGAAGAGCATGGAGTGAATGGACATCCTGCACAGTATAGCGTTTCTCTTTTGCTTTGTTTAGCAGTCTTAGTGTGCTTTGTATTTAGCTACTATGCTCCATGGCACAAAGCCTTAAAATCCAGGGGGGAAAGCACCATGAACCAACATGATTCCTTATGATGCTGTTCTTTCTGTATGTACCAGGCTCACATGAGCTCATTCACATTACAGAAACACCTGCTTGGCAGAATTGAATATATTGGATCTACTCATTGTTTAACAGCTATGTAGTAGTATTATTATATGAATGTAACAACCTTCCTGTGTTGATGGATAACTATGTTTTAAATTTTTTGTTTTAAAAATATTGTAATGAGCAACTTATTTAAATCTGCAGTGCCTTCTAGGAGTGTTGTTCTCCTGGTGGTTCTTAGGTTCAACTGAACAATCAAACAAGACCTAAACAGGCCACAGTGAAAAACCACCCGCTTAGGAGGACAGGAGGAAGGAACCACAACGTACCCAACAGCCATTAGCATTTCTCTTGTGCTCCACACAGCAGTCTAGGGGTTGTCCATGGATATGACTTCTAGAACCCTGTAAGGATTATACCCATAAGAGTCACTGCGTACAGGGAAGTCCCAAACTGTGGCTTACCAACAGGTATTCATGTTAATTTATAGTAATCCCAAGTCCAGAGGTGTATCAGGAGGCCTTCTTCCCAATGTACTGTTGCCTGTAACAGTTGACATTCCACCTTTATTAGGTTTCCAGGGCAGATTTGTTTATATATAAAGAGAAAGATAAATCCCTACAAGTGGAATTTCTTGGTCAAAGGATATGTATACATATATATATACAGTCTACATCCTGTATGTGACACCAGAAGAATAAGCAACCCAAGAAAATAGGCAACATGAACATCATCAAAATTAGAAACTTCTGTGCTTGAAAAGACACTATCGGGAGAGCAAAAAGAGCCCGGGTGGGCGTGGCTCAGTGGTTGAGCATCGACCTAGGATCCAGGAGATCGTGGTTCAATTCCCGGTCAGGGCACATGCCCAGGTTGCGGGTTCGATCCCTAGTGGTGGCGTGCAGGAGCAGCCGATCAATGACTCTCTCATCATTGATATTTCTATCTCTCCCTCTCCCTTCCTCTCTCTGAAATCAATAAATATATATTTTTTTAAAAAAAGTGAAAAGACAACTCACATAATGGGAGAAAATATTTGCTAATCATCTATCTGATAAGGGTCTAGAATCCAGAATATATAAATAAAGATCTCTTATAACTCAACAATAAAAAGACAACCCTATTTAAAAATTGGTGAAGTATTTGAAAATTATACATGGTCAGTCTGGCTCCTTAGATAGTTGTAGCTTTGGCAAAAAAGAATAAAATTAATGCCTGTACTGACTGTTCTTATCTGATGGCCAGAAAGTAACTGATGGAAACTTACTGGAAGACACATTTATTTTTCCCATGGGAATTTCAGTTTATTTTCTTTAAGCAATTTTATCAAGTGATTCTCTTTAGAAAGCTGTAGATTGGCCAGAAATGAAAATTTATTTATTTTTCAGTAGAAAACTTGAGAGTAATAATTTTATTAATTTCATTAACTTACACCTTTCTTTGAAATCAATTTTGTGTCCTTGAAGTGTTTTTTTAAAAGATGATATTTAAGTACTTGAGAAGATCAACTAGTGTTCAACATAAAGATTCAAAGAGTAATCAGAGCTGCCCAAAGATGGAATACACTTTCTTAAGAGGCAATGATGTCCCTACCATTAGGTGACCTACTGGTAGGAATTTTATGATATGAATTAAAACATTGGGTAGATAGTAGACCTTGATGATATTTTAGGTCCCTCATGCAAATTCTTTGATCCTGTGATTCTGTGATACTTGCTTTGCATACCAATGTATATTTCTTTGATCACAAAGTTGAGGGTTATAAAAACATTTCTGTGGAGTTCAGGTATGTATTATCTGGGCATCTGTCTCAACCACCCACTTTACTCTGCCTAAATAGTATATTTTTACAGTATTTTTGTTTCTATATATTTATCCTCATTTTCACCAAAGAGTTCTACATGCTGGTTGTCTGTCAGTCAAGGAAAATTGTACACACTGTAGACATTTGAGGCAGAAAGTAGATTTTGCTTTAAGCTTCAGTCTTGTCATGTTAAAGAAGACTTATGTATTTCACTCTTTTAAGTGAATATTTCATCAGCCTCTCATACTTGAGACACTTTAAATATACATCAAAGTAATCAGGGAAATGATTGAGAGTTGCAAGGAGTCCAGTCGTCTAATTAAAATCTGTTGGTGATTTTCAGAATGAAGCAATGACAGGTTCTCACACCCAGAATCGAGTCCTCTCTCGAATCACTCTGGCATTAATGGAAGACACTGGGTAAGATAGCTTTGAGATTATTGTATGAATTGTTCATTCAAATGAAATGGATATTAAGATTAATATGATTAAGATGAAATGAATATTAGCTTAAGAAAATACTGACATTTTACATTGACATAAAATATTCTTTGAATTTTGTGCAGTTAGCTATTCATGACCTGTAACAACTACATTTATTCATTCAATAAATATTTGATGCCCTGAGGTATAGTAATGAATAGAACAAAATTCCTAGTATTATTATATTTATTTTCCAATAAGTAGAGGCTATGCTAATATAAACAAAATTGGTAATGTATAGATTCCTGGATTTTAAAGCAGTAGAACTTTCTGGTAAAGCAGTAGAATATTCCTTTAAATAACCCCCATAGGAGTCTTTCTCTTTGTTTGCTCCTGGGTCCTTTTGACAAGACTTGTTGGTTTCTGATAGCTTCCTTAGTTTCTGGTATGGTAGAATGTACCAGGCTGATCAGCACATACCTCCTGGGCATCAGCCAGTCTTTCAAGAAGCACTGGTCCCTTTTAATAGAGAGCAGTTTTTAGAAACCACAGCTTAGGTACTGTTTTCATTGCTACCAGGTTATCATTGTTTCTCGTATTTACTGTGGACCAAGTTAGGAAATTCATGTACTTGGGAAGGAAAAGACAACAACAATGCTGGATTTTTTTTAGTGCCAGTATAACTCTTTCCCATTTCTTCCTGAATAAGCAATGACCAGCTGAAGTGGTCCTGCTGCTCTGCTTAATAACCTATTTATAGCCCTTTTATAAACAATGCTAGTTTAAGGTACCACTTGGGTATAGAAGCACTGTGGAGTGTGTGAGTCACTAATGAAAAATTATGGCACTGCTGCATTTTTTCTTTTCTTTTTTCTGAGGCAACACAACAGCAACATGGGCCATATGTTTCTAAATTTCTGGCAATATTGCCTTAGCTGGTTTGGCTTAGTGGTTAGAACGTCGTGGTTAGTGTGTACAGTAGGCAACCATTCAATGTGTCTTTCTCACATTGATGTCTCTCTCTCCTCTCTCTCTCTCTCTCTTTCTTTCCCTTCTCTCTCTGAAAAGCAATAGAAAAAATATCCTTGAGTGAGGATAAAAATTAATTAATTTCTGGCAATATTTTATAATTGTAGACATGGAGCCCAATTAGTGTGGCTCAGTTAGTTGGGTGTGGTTCCATGCACCGAAGGGTTGCTGGTTTGATTCCTAGTCAGGGCACATGCCCAGGCTGTGGCCTTGATCCCCAGTAGGGGGCATGCAGGGCAGCCAATCGATGTTTCTCTCTCATCTATGTTTTTCTCTCTCTCTCTCCTTCTCCCTTCCTCTCTCTAAAATCATTTTTTTTTTTAAAGTACAAATTGATTGTTACAGAATAGTCATAGGGATATAAAGTAGAGCATAAGGAATAATCAATAATATTCTAATAACTATGTATGGTGTCAGATGGGTATGAGATTTATTGTGATGATCAGTAAGTTATATAATAATCTAATCACTGGGGTGTATGCCTGAAACTAGTATAATATTGTATGTCAGTTGTAATTGAAAAATAAAAAATGATAATAAAAAAAAAAGAAGAAAAGCTAATAAAAGTAGCTTGTTGATTAAATTTGCAGGGAAACTAAATCAATGTGTTGCGTTTTTTTCTGAAATGAGAACATTTTAAAAGTGTTAGACATTGTATTCATTTATCTTATTATAATGGTGTAATGTTTAGTCACGAGCAGGGCCTATATTTATAAAATAGCACAAATTCAAGGCCAGAGAAGAAAGAAACTAGAGCCAGCTGACTCAGATTAGGTAAAGACTGGCTACCTAATGATCCCGCTGTTTCCTCCTGTTTATGCCCTTCTCCTTTCCTCTCATTCTCGTTCTGTTTCTTCGGACCTTAGTCCCCTGGTCTCACACCTGAATCAGTTTCTACTCTGTGACTGCCATCATCTTTGGGAGTTACAGTGGAAACATGGCTTGTTTGTGTTTTTCCCAACTAGGAAGACCCTCACCTTAAGGCTGAAGTTCCCCACCCCTGCTTTCGGTATTCCTGTGCTGTAGTCCCTGTGCAGCGAGGGCTTTCTTAGTAATCCTCATCTGTGGTGATGGCCCCTGTAGTCTTTTTTGGGGTCCTAGTTTTCTCATTGTTAAGATTTGTCCTGGGTGTACTGGAATTGTTTTTTAAATGACAGTAATAAAAAGTGCTTTGTTTGAATTATTTCCACAGCTGGTATAAAGCTAATTATAGCATGGCTGAGAAGTTAGACTGGGGCCGAGGAATGGGCTGTGACTTCGTAAGGAAGAGCTGTAAATTCTGGATTGGTCAGCAGAGAAAAAAGTAAGAATACATTTCCTCATAGTGTTTGATAACAATTTATTTCTGATGTTGTTCTTTATCTGGAGCCTAAAATGGTATTTTCAAAATAGGGTCATATAGCTGACTAAGAACAGAGCTGGGACTTTTCTCTCTTCAAATTTAGTACCTTGCCCATTAAATCATAAGTACTTCTTGTGCTGTAGAAGATGTTACTCTTATTTCTCACCTGGGTTAGGTTTCAAAGCAGTTTATATTACTCATAGCTTCTACTAAGGAGTCTGATGCCTTAGTTACAACCTTGCTGTAAAAAAAGTAGCTTATTGCAGTAGGAAAAAAAGCACCTGCCGCTTCTTTGGGGACAGCTAGTTAACTCCAGCACTACAACTTGATCTACTAGTATAATGATTCTCAAATTTTACTGCACATTAAAATCACCTAGAGCCCAGCTAGGCGTGGCTCAGCGGTTAAGCATCGACCTAGGACCCAGGAGATCACGGTTTGATTTCCGGTCAGGCCACATGCCCAGGTTGTGGGCTGGATCACCAGTCGGGGGCGTGCAGGAGGCAGCTGATCAGTGATGACTCTCTCATCATTGATGTGTCTCTCTCCCTCTCCCTTCCTACCTCTGAAATCAATAAAGATATATCTTAAAAATAAATTAAATTAAATCACCTAGAGACATTTTTAAAATCTCCATGCCCATATTGCTACCTGTACCAATTAAATCAGAATGTCTGGAGGTGGGAATCTGGCATTGGCTTTTCGTTTGTTTTTTAAAGAGATTCCCAGGTGCCGTGGCCAGTTTGTCTCAGTGGTTTGAGCATAGGCCCTCAGACTGAAGGTTCGATTCTGGCCAAACAGGCTTGATCCCCAGCCCTGGTCAGGGCACATGCAGGAGGCAGCCAATCGATGTGTCTCTCACATGGTGTTTCTCTCTCCCTCTCTCTCCCTTCTACTCTTTCTGAAAAGCAATGGGAAAAATATCCTCAGAGATTCCCAGGTGATTTCATTGTACAGCAAAGTTTGGGAACTACTGTTCCAGTGTGTTAAGGCAAGTGTGTAGTTAACTTTTCAGCTGCAGTAGTTTAAAGACATTATTTTTTTCTTTTAACAGTTGCAAGTCTGTTTGTTCCCTTTTGGGTTTCAATTATAGGATCACCTAAAACCAAGAAGAGAAGGAAATTTCCTCCTCTTTGTTCTTCAAAACGAAAACTGTTGGTCCCTTGAATTCTCTCCTTTCCTTTGAACCATAAGCTAGTGACTGACAAATGTATTTTTTTTATATATCTTTATTGATTTCAGAGAGAGGAAGGGAGAGGGAGAGAGAGAGAAACATCAATGATGAGAGTAATTGACAAACTTTTTTTTATTAAGAGCCAGATAGTAAATATTTTAGGCTTTGAGGATCACACAGTTTCTGTCACATCACAACTCTTAACTCTGCTTTCATACATCAAGGGCAGCCATAGACAAAGTGAATGGGCATGGCCATCTTCCAATAATACTTTATTTACAAAAATAGGTTGTGGGAGAAACAAAGAAAAGAAAAACAGGTTGTGAGCAAGGATTGCAGACAAAGAATTGAACTTTGCTAACCCCTGTAATAGCATTCAAATGTCCTACTTATAAAGTATTGATGACCACAAGTACTTACAGGACAGAAGCCATCTTCCTGCACCATAGGCCAAGTCTGGCTATAGTCCTAAGTTATCGTAGAGATTCCAGCATGACCCTTGTGCTTAAGTTCAGTTGCAACACCCTTTCTTTTCCATTGCTGGGTGACTGGTGTGAAAGGGTATGGTTGAGCATGGGCAGAGCATTATTTATTTGATTCACTTGAATCTATACACACACAAAATAAGGTCCTGTGTTTCAAAATAACTAAAAATAGCCCCGCCGGGCGTGGCTCAACAGTTGAGCATCGACCTAGGATCCAGGTGATCGGGGTTCAATTCCCGGTCAGGGCACATGCCCAGGTCATGGGCTCGATCAATGACTCTCTCATTAGTGATGTTTCTGTCTCTCTCTCTCCCTCTCCTTTCCTCTCTCTGAAATCAATAAAAGATATATTAAAAAAAATAAAATAAAGCCATTTCTTTAAAAAAAAATTTAAAAAAATAACTAAAAATAATAAATTAGCCCTGGCTGGTGTGGCTTAATGGTTAGAGCATCTGCCCGCACACCGAAGGGTCGCAGGTTTGATTCCTGGTCAAGGGCATGTACCTGGGTTTCAGGTTCCACCCCTTGCCCCAGGAGGCAGCCTATTGGTGTGTATGTGTGTGTGTCTCTCCCTCTCTTCCCCCTGTCCTACTTCCCTCCCTCCCTTCCACACTCTAAAAATCAGTGGAAAAAATATCCAAGAGTGAGGATTAACAACAAAAATTAAATAAATAAATAAATAAATAAATAAATAAATAAATAAATAGTACCTCCAAGATTAGATTTTACAGAGAGCAGGACAAGTTGTAACAATTAGAAATATTCACACAGTCTTCATTTTGCACAGAAAAACAAGATTATATTGTGAATGTTTTTAATTTAACAAATTGTTAAACAAGACTGTTTGAACTAGATTGTAGCATAGAAAATATTTAACCCTTTGTAGCTGCAGGACAAAGGAGATATTTTCATTTGTTTCTGAGACTGTACTTGTTATTATGAAGATTTATATTTTTAGACAGGCTCTGGAATTTCACCATTTGTCATAAAAAATGCACATCAGCCCTAGCAGATTTGACTCAGTGGTTAGAGCGTCAGCCCGAAGACCAAAGGGTCTCAGGTTCGATTCTGGCCAAGGGCACATACCTTGGTTACAAGCTTGATCCCCGGCCCTGTTTGGGGTGCGTGCAGGAGGCAACCAATTGCTGACTCTCTCTCACATTGATGTTTTTCTGTCTCTCTCTCTCTCCCCTCTCCCACTCTCTTTGAAAAAGCAATGGAAAACAATATAATAAAATAATCAAATCAGGTCTTTAAAACTCCATTTTACTGACAAAAGTAGAGAAAGAGATAAATAGGATTTTATTTAATAACAGTGAAAAAATGTTATAATGCATCTACCATTAATCTTCTGTATCTACATTAAACATTCCTTTTACCCTTTGGGAAATAAGTTTATAACCTGATTTAGCAATTTGTTTTAAGCTATTAAAGCATATTGAAATTATGATGGAAAAGATAAGCTTATAATGGAAAAGCATAAACTTGTACTATTTTCTTTACAGTTTTATACCATGGTGTTTATCTTTGTGTGCAGGAGGCAGATGCTGAGCCCTTACTGTGACACACTCAGAAGTAATCCATTGCAGTTAACTTGCAGACAGGACCAGAGAGCAGTTGCAGTGTGTAATTTACAGAAGTTTCCAAAACCTTTACCTCAAGAGTACCAGGTAACACTTGTATGGGGCACAATTTTAGGAATTCAGCTTTTTAAAAATAAGTTTCCATTTTGAATTAGAAAGTGTTTCAATTTATAAAGCCACATTTGTTTTCTATAAGTCAGACAAAATTGAGGAATTCCTCCATTTCTTTGTAACCAATGTGATAATCAGTAGTAATTAGTATCTAACAATACCTTGTAGAAATAGTAAGAGGCATTTAGAATATTTATTTTTATCTATATATTTTTAAACTGTATGTCTTTTCTTCTTTTTTAAAATATATTTTCATTGATTTTAGAGAGAGAGGAAGAGGGAGAGAGAGACAGAAATATCAATGAGGGAGAAACAAGCCTGCAACCTGGGCATGTGCCCTGACCAGGAATCAAACCGGCTACCTCTTGGTGCATGGATCGATGCTCATCCACTGAGCCACACCAGACAGGCTGAATGTCTTTTCTTTCTAATCGTTTCCAAAGTCTTCATCTTTAATTTCCTCTAATTTACTCCATAAAAACAAGGTTCTTTAAAAAAAATAATTTAGGTACTCTAAGCCAATTAATTTGAAGGCTTGGAATTTATACTTGAAAGAAGGTTTGACTCAAGGGATCTAAAAGGTGAAGGAAATGGTCCCACATGTTCAGTCTGAATCCTGATTTGATCTTTTAAGTGTTTTGTTGCAATGGCTATCTCTATAAAGCCTGTCATTTTCAAAGGACACTTTAGTCAGAAATGGTATCTCAGAAGCTAATTTAAAATGCTGCTAAATTTTGAGCTTCCTACATATGTTTATGACCTTTCTGAGTGTTTCAGACACCATATGTTGGCATCTATATTTCTAGACATAGTATTATAATTCAATGAGTTGGTGTAAAATTTGAAATCTTTAAGATTTATCTGGTACCTTGTTCCTTTGGTATTCAAAGTATTGTATGTATGTATGTGATCTTTCATTTTCTTACAGTTTTAATTTTTCAAGTATGTCAAAACAATATATAAATTAAGTCTCCTAAAAACATTTGAAGTGTAGCATATTTAAAATCTTAATTCTATGCATTTTTTTGTGTTTTGGCAACTCTTAAAAGTCTTCCGATTCATCCTTTAAAAACACTAGTCAAATTTGTCATCTAATGAAAAACAGACTAGTTTACTTACCTTGCTTATTTCTAAAATTACAATACTTTGACATACCCCTGAGTAGTGTATTACTGTCTTTGTGTTATACTGTATATGAAGAAAAGTACATTAATACCAAGTTATACAGTATTAGAGGGTTGCTGTAAATTGCCTATGGACTTTGTTTTGATTATACAGAATTTTTTCTTTCTCTCCTGTCTTCCTAATACTTTTTTTGTAGTACTTTGATGAACTCAGTGGAATACCTGCAGAAGATTTGCCTCATTATGGTGGTTCAGTAGAAATTGCTGACTACTGCCCTTTCAGTCAGGAATTCAGTTGGCATTTAAATGGTGGATATCAGCGCAGCTCAGATTGTAGAATATTGGAAAATCAACCAGGTTAGTTTAGTGAAATGAAATGTTATATACATATTACAATTATATATCAGCAATGTAAAATAGTAGTTAAGAGCACAGACCCTGGAGTTCAACTGTCTGAGTTGTATTGTGGTTCCACTGTTATCCATCTGTTGTAAATAACCTAACTTCTCTGTGCCTCAGTTTCCTCCTCCGTAAAAAGGGGATAATAATACCTATCTAATAGAGTTCTTGTGAGAATTAAAAAATTAATGTAATAAGAGCTTAGGACCATCACACATAGAAAGGATTTTTAGCTATTAGATAGATTTGCACATGTATACAAACACTGCTTTTCAGTAATACCTTACATCTGCATGACACTTTTCATTTGCAAAGCACTTTCATTTTTATATTTCATTTTATTCTTCTAAAAACCTGATGAGAGACATAGAGAAGATATTGAATTTCACAGATGAATGAAAAGACACTAAGTAATACAGTTAGTTGGTGTTGGTACAGGATCCTCCAGTGGATAGCTCTTTTTAGCTAATCACTTTAGGTATCCTATTTTTTTCTCTCCTGAGGAGTGTGCATTTTAGGTATTTTAGAAGTAACATACCATTCTTCAAATATCAGAATAATATTGTCCCATAGCTATTAAGGTGTTGCCATATTATTTATTCTTTCTTAATACATATAAATGAACAGGTCATCAAGGGGATAAACAGTATGGTGATTGGATATTCAGCAATAATACAGTGGTACCTCGGTTTTCGGATGTAATCTGTTCCAGAAGACCGTTCAGGTTCTGAAACGTTCAAAAACAGGGATCAGCAGCCGACAGCTAGGCCTCAGGGCCTTGCCCTCAGCGGAAGCTGTGTGGCATGTTCGACTTCCGAGGCGTGTTCGAAAACCAAAGTATTTACACATTCGTAAACCGAAATGTTTGTCAACAGAGACATTCGAAAACTGAGGTACCACTGTAGTTATCGCTCATACTACTCACCTCTGTGAATAAAATGTTCTCACATCTGATATGTTAGTAAACAGCAATAAGCAGTTTTTATTTCTGTGGTCATCAAAATTTTTAACCTGGTCCCCCACCTTTATTCCATACTTTATTACAGACTAAGCCAGTTAAATTTTACATTTCCATAATGTTTTATTCTTAAACCTAGCAGATTTAACTGGATTTGTAGTTATTTTTCTGTCACTCACCTACTTGATAAATGTCTAAAGATTTATGACACAGCTACTCAGCAGTTCCATGTAAAGCAAAAGAAATGCACAGATCTACCAGTTACAGGTTTGTTAAAATAATATGTCACATTTTATTGTTTTACAGCTGGAGTTGGCAAACGTTTATTGTGAAGAGCAAGATAGTAAATAGTTTAGGTTTTGTGGGTCATAGTCTCTGTTGCAACTACTCAACACACTGTTATAGTGTGAAAGCAGTCATAAGCAGTGTATAAATGAATGAGTGTGGATGTGTTGAATAAAACTTTATGTATAAAAACAGGCAATCCTCAGGATTTGGCCTGAGAATTGTAGCTTGCTGACCCATCTTTTTTATTTTTTTGCCATTGATCACTGTGTTTTTTGAGGACTTTGAAATACTCCAAAAATAAAAGAAATACAGAGTTCTGTTTTACATTTTCTCTTTTAGCTTATGTAATTAAGATTTTTCAAAACTGACATAAAATAAAATACATACTGGTTTTTAAAATTTTAATGTATTGGTTTTAGAGTGAAAAAGAGAAACATCAATTTGTTATTCCACTTACTTACGCATTCACTGGTTGATCCTTGAGTGTGCCCTGACTGGGGATAGAACCCACAATCTTGGTGTATTGAGATGATTCTCTAACCAACTGAGCTACCCAGCCAGGGCAACACTTATCTTTATAATATTTCAGAATGGGCTAATTGAACTCTCACTGTTTTCAAAAGATGAAACTTGCTTGTATTAGGCGTAAAGAGAGCAAATAAATTATTGCGGGTACTTAAGAGCGTCATCCTTTGTCCATTAGCTATTTAGAGGTCATTGAGTCCACTCTGCAAGGACTTAGAGTGGACTCAGTGTGCTTAGTCTGAGATTAGATCAGCATGGTATTTATGAACTTCCAGGGGATGGCGTAAGTTGAAAATACAAAAAAGTTTTGCAAAAGTTGCAAGACCCCAAAAAAGCTTTCATTATATAAATCATTGTCCTCATCCTGTTCTGGGTCATTTGAGAGGTGACTCCTATTAGGCCACCAGTGAAAGTGATTCTTAGTACCATTTCCTCTATGGAGCTAACTTAAATGCTTTAGGCCCAGTTTTATCACTTGTTTCTGGTATAATAATTTTCTGCCAGTACCTGTATTGAGAACCCAGTTTGAGTTTGGATCCCTCTTTCTCTTGATTTTTTAAATTGAAAACTTCCGTTAAACATGTTTGTTTTTAAAACAACCTTTAATCATAAGAATGGAATACTTCAACTTCTTGTTTTTTGAGCCAAAGGCCAATTTTTAAGATAACTTTTCTGGTTTGCTTCAGACCCTTTTAAAAACTATGGTGCTGAAAAGTATGGACCTCATTCAGTTTGTTTAATTCAGAAATCAGCATTTGTCATGGAACAGTGTGAAAGGAAGCTGAGTTACCCAGACTGGGGAAGTGGATGTTATCAGGTAAATTAAATGATTGTTAATAATTATACCAAATATTACATAATTTTGTCTCATTATTGGGTTTTTATATTTTAAAATACATTGTATCTTTTTATAGTTAATTTACTGATTAATACTTTAACTTATGTTTATTTATGTAAATATTAGTTTGGATGCTTACGTTTTGTGAAAATATTTTTTTTTTTTTTTTTTTTAGAGAAATTGCCTTTGTCCATTTGTTTAAAAATATATATATAATTGCTGTATATCAGCAAGTTTTATAATAATTTTACCTCTGGGCATATATCCTAAGAAAATAATGAAAATATTTAATTTTGTTCTTGAATAGACATTACTTTGAATGGAAAAAATTTACAATTTTACTTAAGATCTGAGGAAGGCATAGATTTAAGAGTTAATAAATCAACTACTGATTCATTGTAGGTTTTTTTCCTTTGAAAGTAGAAGTCCAAAGAGAGCAAATTACTGTTATCTTAATTATCTTATTTACATGTCTGGTATTAAATGAGTGCATCATCTTATTAAAATCTTACTGAGATACAGGCATTTTGGAACTTAGGTTCATTCAACTTAATGAATATTTTGTACCCTACTAATGGATGTTGAGGACAGTGTGCTTCTGAGACGTGAAAAATAAGAATTTGCTGTATTATTTCAGCTACAAGAGCTAAATGGACTTCTGTAGCTGGGAATTTAAATATTATTATTTTAAATATGTTTTTATTTCTTTTAGAGAGAGGGAGAAGCATCAATGTGAGAGAGAAACATCATTCGGTTGCCTCTAACCGGGGACCTAACCCACAACCTAGGCATGTGCCGTGACGAGGAATCAAAAGGGTGACCCTTCAGTGCATGGACCACACTCAACCAACTGAGCTACACCAGCCAGGGTTAAATATTGTTTTTAAACTTTCTTATAAAATTAACATTTTTGGAGTAACAGCCTTATTGAGATATAGTTTACACACCATACTTTTCATATGAAATTATCTTTGAAACCTTATAAAAGATAATTAACCACTTTCCAGTTATAATCTGACAGCTATAATCCAGCAACCATTTTCTGATAAATTCCATTGAAGATTTATGTATTGATTAAATACATAGTTTTGATCTATTATAACCATAATACATAATTTTGTTTTATTTCTTTCACTTAGTACTTTTTATGCAGAGCAAAACACCCTTTCCAAGTTTTTCCATTAATAACACTTACTATTCTTTATGACTGTAGAACATTGCATCTTATTTGGGAAGTCACTTCCTTGTTATATATTGAGTTTTCACTGTGTAAAAATGCTTTTATAAGTATACTTACATATTTTACCTTTTTTAAAATTTATTTTTTGAAATAAATTCCTATAAGTGAAAATATTAGGTTAAAGGAATAAAACTAGAACCGTGACAACTGTAACAGGAAGATGAAATTTTCAGGCTATTTTAATGTTTTATTAACATACTACCACCACAGAGGGGTTATGCAGATTTGAAATACCATCCATAAAGACCCAATGTACAACTTGGCTTCCCTGTACCTAGTATTGTCAGTTAGTTTTGCTGATTTAATACTAACCATCATTTATGTGGGAAAGTGTGTATGGTTTCCAAACAATTCACTGTGGATTGACTGTTTTGTTTTTTGTTGCTTTTCCTTATTTTGACAGAATGGTGCAAAATTAAGTCATTTAAGTATAAATTGCTGATATGTTGCCCCTTCAGTCCCAAATATTTTAATGTGTACTACTTATAAACAAGGATATCTTCCTACATGACCACAATACTACCCAAAAAAAATCAGGAAATTAACATCGATACATCTAATTCTTTGACCACATTCAAGTTTTGCCAATTGTCCCAGTATTGTCCTTGTAGCAGTAGGATCTGGACTAATCTCATGTTTCGTAGTTGTAATGTCTCTGTTCTTCAATCTAGAACAGTCCCTCAGTCTTTTCTTGACTTTCATAACCTTGATACTTTTAGAGATTGCAAGCCATTTCTTTTCTAGAAGAAAAGATGTCTGATGCTTTATTAAATTCAGGTAATGTATTTTGGGCAGTAATATAACAGAAGTGATGCTCATGTTCTGGTGGTACACTCTTTTGACTTGTCCTTTTACTGGTGATGTTAAATTGTTGTTATATCAGGCTTCTCCACTGACAGGTTATTCTTTTTCTGTTTTAATTAATTACTTTTGTAATTAATAAGTATTGGGGGGAAGGTACTATGTCAATAACTTATTTCTTATACTTTCATTTTATTAATGCATGTATTTATATCCATTTTGACTCATAGATTCCATCTTATTCAATAAGTATTACCATTATTATCATTATTTATTTTGATATTCAAGTTGCTCCAACTTTGGCCAGAGGGAGCCCCTTCAGGTTGGTTCCTATGTTCTTTGGTCTGTCCTCATCTTTCTTTTAATATTTCCTTGCTTTCTGGCCCAAGATAGTCTAGGCCCATCTTTACTTTCTTTGCCTCTGCCTGGAATCAACCATTTCTCCAAGGAGCTCTAATTTATTTCAGTGGAGTGTGGTATTTAGCAACTATGATCTGGGTGCTAGATGTACTGTTCATTGCTGTTGAAATATAGCTGCCCTCCAGCCCTCTTGATAAACAGAGCTAGGAAATATATGTATTATGTAATTTTTATATATACTACTCATACATATATAAATGTATAACCTTGTTTGCACCAGTATCTTTGATTCCAGTCTAACCCAAAGGGTTCATTTTTGTTTTTTCCCTTTCTATATTTGTAACTCCTCTTTCTGACAGTGAGAAATCTGGCTGTCATTGTCCTCAATATGCTGACTTATTTGATCTGTCCACACCTTTTTCACCTTCTCCCACCCCTACGTGGTTGCCCTCTTCACCAACTTGGACTCTTACACAACCCGCCAAGTCACAACATTTCTGCCTTACTGTGATCCAAATCCTATGTACATCCTCAGAATAAAAAAATTATATCCCACCCTTCTTTCCTCAATTAAAGCTACTAAAGGCAGGCATTGTGTTGTGAACTTCTTTCGTATTCTTTTCAGTTCTAAACACGATAATCAGGTCTCACTTAAATGATGATTATATTGCACTATCACTATGGTGATGCTTATTAGATGTGGGTCATTGAATGACAGGCTATGCAAGAGGTTACTCTTTATTGTTTGTATTCTCAAAAGCTTATTATAACTTAAATTTCCAAATCAGTATTATATTTAAACTTAATTGATGATTGAGTTACTTCAAAAATGACTCCATTGTTGAAATACAGTTTTGGAACTCCTCTTTTGAAATTTCCTTTATAAGTAGTTTAATAGCTATTTAAGAAAATCAGTTTTAGTACTTTGCATCACACCCATGTTAACCCCGTGTTAATCAGTTTAGTTAAGTACCTTTACCAGACTCAGTTCTGGGAAACTTTGGGATATTTCTAAAAATTACATCTAGTTATAAAGTAAAAGTTTGCTACTATCAAACATTTTCAGCCTGGCTAGCATGGCTCAGTGGTTGAGCATTGACCTATGAACCAGGAGGTCAGGGCACATACCCCCATTTCGGGCTGGATCCCCAGTAGGGAGCATGCAGGAGGCAGCCGATCAATGACTCTCATCATTGATGTCTCTGTCTCTCTCTCCCTTCCTCTCTCTGAAATTATTGAAAACAGAAAGGAAGGGGAGGGGGGGAGGAGGGAGATGCATTTACTTTGAAAATAGTTCCAGGAGAGAAGTTTTAGAAATATTTAAAGTGAAGTAACTTAATTGAAATTAACATGAAGTCTTCAGAAAAGAACTTTGAAGAATAATCATTAAAAATTGTTTATATCCCAAACTGCGTTCTATAGCCAGTATTTTTAGTAGATTCTAACCTTTTTCCTGCAGATAAAGAAAAAGGCCAGTATACTTACTGATCTGGAATTTTTTTTTCTGTTTGAAGGTTTCTTGTTCTCCACAAGGTCTAAAGGTTTGGGTCCACGATACTTCATATTTGTGTAGTCGGGCTGGGCAAGTCCTCTTCATTAGTATTCAGATGAATGGCTGGATTCACAATGGAAGCCTGCTGTGCCCGTCATGTTGGGACTTCTGTGAACTCTGTCCTCCAGAAACAGATCCTCCAGCCACTAACTTGACCCGAGCTCTGCCACTGGGTGAGTAGTGTCTATGGTTGGAGTAATGGAGACTTTTCTTATAAGATGTTGAAAATCTCTTCAAGGAAGTTCTAAAACAGGTTGAGCATCTTCTCTTCTAATTTCGATGTTATGGGAAAATCTCCTTCCCACCATTGACTTTTATTTTTCCCTGACAGGAGCAATATCTGTCAGTAGAGTTATTTAAAAAATGACTCCATTGTTGAAATACATTTTTGGAACTCCTCTTTTGAAATTGCCTTTAGAAATAGTTTAATAGCCATCTAAGAAAATCAAATTTAGTACTTTGCATCACACCTTTATTAACCTATGTTAACCAGTTTAGTCAACTACCTTTATCAGACTCAGTTCTTGTCAATAGATCCCCTATCACTCACAGCACCTCAGTTTTGAGTGCACAGATTACATCAGTCAGCCACTGGCCTGTTTCAGTGCAGAGGAGCCTCTTCCCCCAGCACTACATGTTCAGAGGGTGCTGCAGCCTCCCAGATCTGGCTTGATGGTCTTCAGAGTCCATTTCTCTAAATTCTTTGTTGAGTACCTAAACTCCTGCACAAGAACACAGGTCCACAGCTACCTTAACAAGTAGTGTCACTGCCACTTTAGTAAAAGCTTTCTATGGTAGTGTGGAGCCAGCCTCTTCCTGTATTTTGGAAATATTTTCAGGTCATAATGATGTGAAGCCTAGATAAGTTTTATTTCTTCCATCAGTTCAGTGCCAGAGAGAACCCTTTGTGCCAGATAGGGTCAATGGAACTGAAAACAAATTTCCAAAGTCAAACTATTGAGTCCTCAGTTTTACACCCTCTCCATGTTAAACCACTTTTTTTTAATTTTTAATATGCCTTTATTGATTTCAAAGAGAAGAAGGGAGAGGGAGAGAGATAGAAACATCAATGATGAGAGAGTCATTGATCAGCTGCCTCCTGCATGCTCCTGACTGGGGATCGAGCCCGCAACCCGGATATGTGCCCTGACTGGGAATCGAACCGTGACCTCCTGGATCCTAGGTCAATGCTCAACCGCTGAACCACGCCCAGCCAGGCAAACCACTCTTTTTTTCCTTCTTTTTTTTTTAAACCCACAAAATTCTTTAATCAGACCACTGTTCCAACATTCAATAGCCAGAACCACATTGCCATGACAGCCTCCTTTGTTCCTTTGTCTCTCCATCTTGATTCCTTACTCCTACTGATCCTCAGGCCATCTTCCACTTCCTCCTGACAGTCACTGTTGTGATTACATCTTACCCAGCCAGTTTCTTCAGTATGTTTCCAATCAGTCCGGCCTGTATCCCTATTCATGGAGGAGCACTGACAGCTTTCATGTACTGTATCTGACCCTGGATGGTAATCTCAGGCCTGCTGTGCTAACTTTTCTGCACAGTACTCCAGTGAGTCAGCTGAGTCTTCTGCAGTTATAAGAGTAATGACACAATGAATTATTTGAAATGACGTAAGTAAGATCTTAGGTCCCTTTGACGTGGTATGTAGTATATGTAGTGTTAAATACTCTTGGGTAGCTTGTGTTTTTTTTAATGCTCACAGGAGGATATTTTTTCCATTGCTTTTCAGAGAGAGTATAAGGGAGAGAGAGAGAGAAACATCGATGTGAGAGAGAGACATCGAGTGGTTGCCTCCTGCATGTGCCCCGACCAGGGCCAGAGATCGAGCCTGCAATTGAGGCACGTGCCCTTGGTCAGGATCAAACCTGGGACCCTTCAGTCCAAGGGCTGACGCGCTAACCACTGAGGCAAACCGGGCTTAGTATGCCTTTAAAACATAAAAACTGCTAATATTCTAGAGGAAGTGTAAAAAAATATTCCTCTCCCCATATTCTTCTGATTTTTTTTATTATTGATCTCAGGTTCACATAGCTTTTTCTTGCATTTGTTAATTTCTTTTGGAATGTAAAAAACTCATCTTTTTTCCTTTTCTCTGGTTGTCACATCTAAATGCTAGAGTATGTTTAGATAGTTGTTTTATAGTGCCTAAGATAGTGATTATAAAAGCCTTATTTCTAATTATTTCTGGTCTCTTCAGACTGTAGGGGTTATTTTTGTTTCCATTTATTGAATGCTAACCAAATGCTTTATGTCTATATCATTGCATTTAATCATCACAAAACCTAATGAGGTAGGAATTGTCATTTTACACACGAGAAAACTAAGGTATGAAGAGATTAGGTAATATGTCTATTATCGTGGCTAATAAATAATGAGGTTCAGATCAAAACCAAAATCCCATCAGCTCCAGTTCATTTTGAAGTACCCTCTTTGAATATTTTCTTTTTAAAGAATACTGTCCCATAAAGTTCAGTATTTTTGAGGACAACAAATGTTTCAGAGCCATTAATGTTTTAAAAGCTTGTTAAATTTTAGTTTCAATAGTAGATAAACAACAGCTAGTCCCCTTCCATTTCCTTTGGGCCAAATTGTGCATCAGGAGATAAAGGGATATGCTTATGTTATTAGACTCCAGGTTTCACTCCTTATTCCAGCCAAGACCACTCTACCTGATGCTCTAGGCCAGAACTTACCCAGTAGAATTCTGTTCTGTAATCTGCATTGCCCAATACAGTCATCGTTAGCCACAAGTGACTGTTGAATGTGTGAAATGTGGCTAGTGTGACTGAGGAACTAAATATTTCATTTCATTTTAATTAATTTAAATTTAAGTAGCACATATAGCTAGTGGCTGCTATTTTGGACAGTGCAGCACTAGGTCAGAGTTTCTCAAACTTTTGCATGCATCAGAATCATGTTAAAACACAAGTTACTAAGACTCACCCCCAGAGTTTCTGATTCAGAAGATCTGTGTCAGAGCCTGAGAATTTTCATTTTTAACAAGTTTCCAGATGCTGCTGTTGTTGATCCAAGGACCACACTTTGAGGACTGTTCTTGGCTAAGTGGAATCTTTCCAAGATTTAACAATTACCAGCTGATTCCACTGGAGAAGAATAGAAGTTTCCTCATAGTTTATCTGAGTTACCTATGGTGAAATAATTTTTTAAAAACTTAAAATACCACACTATATGGTGCTCAGAAGAACAGGCTGCAGTGTCTTGATTTCATCATTCTATTCACTCAAGAGCTGAAGACCAGCCCTATTTTCCTTACCTTTTAGAAGTCAGAGTTGAAGCTTGGTTGGTTCTTTATTGGTCAAAATATTAGAAAGGACAACTAACTCATCTTAAGATAAAGTCAGGTTGACCTGGTCTCTTGGCTACTATAAAAATATTTTCCAGCATTGGCTGGGCAGCTCAGTTGGTTAAGAGTGTCGTCCAGATATGCCAAGGTTGTAGGTTCGATCTCTGGTTAGGGCACATACAAGAAACAACCAATGAATGCATAAATAAGTGGAACAACAAGTCAGTGTTTCTCTCCTCTCTCTCCCTCCCTCCCTCTAAAAATCAGTCAATAAAATTGAAAATAAATGTTTTCCTTTCTGAGAATTGTTTTGGGAAATAGTTTTAGCTGTGATCAGCTCATGGCTAAATTAAAACATACTTCTAGTGCCCAAATTCCATAGAATCTTCTTCCATTTCCATATCAAGCCTGGATGTAGATAGATGGGTAGAGACCAGGGGCCATATGCCCTGGTTTGTCTGGGACAGTCCATATGTCTTTGTCCTGGTATAATTGTTAATAGCGTTCTCTGTGTTAAAAAATCAAAGAGAACAATTTAGTTGATCTAAGTAAATTTTATTTCACACTTCATGAAGGGGGCAGTCTCCACTCTCAAGAGTCCAAAATAAGGGGAAAGGGCTGCAAGCAGGAAACAAGGAAGAAGCACTGAGCTTAAGTTGGTTGGCTGGAGTTGTGTATCTACCCTATTTTGAAAGATCAAGGACAGGGAAAAAGTATAGAGTCCAGAGGTGGCTTGTTGGTTCGCGATTGGCTGACTGGATATACTGTCTTTCTGGTTAAGCACATGGAAGTTATCTAAGTTTCAGTTTTCTGATGTGGTACCGTCTTGGGACTAGCAATTTATTTCAACACTTGTCTCAAAATGCCCTGATTTGGGATGATAAATTATATCGTTACCAAAAAGGGACACGGAAAAACAGAAGAGAGTCCTACTTCCCATGTCAGAATAGCCAAGGTATTAATCTACTTCCCTGTGTAGCATCTTTAACTTTGCTGTGATACTAGCCGAAGACACTTCTTTCTCCTCTTGGGTGCTGTTTTTAACCTTGATATGGTGAGTACATTCTTTTCTTCCTGCATAAATATTTTGTTCCTTTATCCAAAAATGCAAAAAAAAACAAAACTTTACATATCTGGGTTTTAGGAAGTCATTCTTTTTCTTTTTTTTAATCCTCACCCAAGGGTATTTTTTCCTTGCTTTTCAGAGAGAGTCGAAGCGGGGGGGAGAGAGAGAGAAACATCGATGTGAGAGAGACACATCGATTGCTTCCTGCACATGCACCCCAACCAGGGCAGGGGAAGAACCTGCAACTGAGGTACATGCCCTTGGATGGAATCGAACCCGGGACCCTTCAGTCTGTGGGCTAGCGCTCTAACCACTGAGCCAAACTAGCCAGGGCTAAGAAGCCATTCTTGATTCTGTTCTCCAAGTTGGTCCTTATTCAACTTTTAGTAATCACCTATACTCATCTGTTAGTGTGTAGTTGATATGATGTATTCCAAAAATGCCTATAGAAAGTCAGTTTTTTGTTTTCAACCCTAGATCTCTGTTCCTGTTCCTCTAGCCTGGTTGTCACCCTCTGGCTTCTGCTAGGCAATCTGTTTCCTCTGCTGGCCGGATTTCTTCTGTGTGTATGGCACTAGGAATAGAAAAGTGAATTCTCAAGGCATTCCTTTGTGTCATGTTCTTCTGAACAAAGCACAAAACCTGGGAGAGTACCAGCCTGTGCAGATGGCAGAAGTGACTTTGGCTTGACAGTTCTGACCACAGTCAGACCTTGAAGGGGAGCTTCGCTTCACAGCAGTTACTCTTCATCGGCAACCCAACAGCCTCAGCTTGGAGAAGGAGAAGGAATTCCAAGTCATCAAGTCTCTTTATTTTTCAGGATGCATAACCTTCCTGAAGTTTTCCTTTGAAAATGTGATATTGGTGTTATTTTCAGAATACATACCTCAGCATTCTCATTAACCTAAAACAATGGGAAAGTTCATCAGTACTGCAGTAATTTAAAGAACAGCTCATTATTGGAAGAGTTTAAGTTGTGGGTCCTGTCCCTAGAAGTATAAATTATCCTTTGACTTACAGAAAATCATTGAATTGAGATTTCTACATCACTGTTATACCTATTTTGAATTTAATGGCTGTACATGGTACACTTAAATTATTGTGCTCACTATTTTAAAAAGTCTTTTTTTTTGGAAATTACATTTTGCTAAATTTTATGATTTAACCATGCTCACCTTTTTCAGGCTAGCTGTGTGGTAGTTTACCACTGAGTCATTATGTGTTGATAGCCCTTTTCCAGATGTATCCGTTACTCATAGGTCTTCATAGCTCAGTTTCCTGTTGTATTCTCCATTTGTTTAACACAGTTGAAAAACCGTAGAAGCAGAGAGAGAAAAGTAATGTGCCCTGTAAAAACATTGAAGACATACAAATAGAAGAAAGTATAAATGTGTGTTTTTCAGATCATTGTTATGACAATTATAATCCAACAAAAACAGGACTATTTCTTTCTGAGCAATGAAGATAAAAAGAAATTCTGGGATAGACAGGTATGCAGTTGTCTTCACATGGGCTTAGAAATTGTTTCTATCTGAAAATTATTTTATATATAAGAAGAACAATATAAGTCAAAACAAAATGATTTGAATTGTTTACTAATAGCAAAGTGTAGGTTTGGTGTATGGCCTATCAAATAGGGTCCACTTTACTGCACAACATATGGCTCAATCCTCAGAAGTTGGAAGATAGCCTTTGCTTTAAAAGGAGGTGATGTCCATTACCTCCTGCTTTTGACACTTCTGTCACCATGTAGATTCTGGTCCACAGAAGCAGTTCTGCTCTGGAGCTTACTGACCCTTTACTAATTAAATTCTCTGTGATGAGTGATGTCCAGTTTTTCTCTGTAAAGTTAACAAAATCCTGTGACATTATAAGCACAGCCCTTGGACAAGCATTCATTCATTCATTGGTTAACCCTTTAATTCAGTGTATAGTTATTGAGCACTCCATGTAAGAAATTGTGCTAAATGAGCAAGCAGCTGATTATTTGGCACTGTGGACAAACAACAATGCCAACATAAAGGAAAGTTACCTTTTTTAATGCATACATTTTAAATATGTATTTAAATATGCAGTTTTGAATTGAAGGTATTTATCATTGTGAAAGCTGGGGGTCTGTAGCATATGTACCTTCAGCTAAAGAGAAGCTAATAGTAAATGGTGTCAGGTCAGTGCTCTGTTTTCTGCCTGTGTCATGTGTTTCTTAAACTGTGCAATGTCCAAGAAAAGTATAGAGTATATTTTTAAAGAAAATTATAAAAATCTAAACTTACATACCAATTGTGATTATGAATCATCCTACAAAGTTCTATAAAGAATTTCACCAAAAAACTATGGACTAAGAATATATTTGAGACTTACAATGATAGATTTGATTATATTTTGACTGTTGTGCAGTAATGCCATTTTGGTAGTATTATTTCTGAGCATGGTGCTTTTTATACTTGAAATCTATTTTTGCTTTTACTTTTTATTGATATAATTATATTTGCACTAATGACTTTCTGGAGAAAATATTATAGATGATTTTTTTATACATATTTATTAAGCTTGGAATCTGGTAGCCCAGTTTTCTCTGCACAAATATGAAACTTGATAAAGTATGATGTTAAGAAATCTTGAGTTTCTGAGGGTAATTAAGTGTGCTGGTGTCGTCCTTCCTCATCAAGTCTTGAAAGTGGTTGCTTATCACTGATTCTGCATAGTCTACTCAGTGAAGACTTAGAAGGCCATTGAACCTGTAAGAAATTTTAAGAGGCACATTTTAGTCACTCAGATTATGACAATATTCTAAAAAAAGACTTTTAAAACCTGAGGTTTCAATGCAGAATTAGTGGGCTAGAATTCAGCTTTAAACTGAAGAATTTGAAATGGCATAAGTGTCAGTATTCTGTGGCAGGTTATACCCTTCATGTTAGCAAGGCCGGTTCACTGAGAGAGACTGAGCAGCCTGCAGCCATGGCGGACGTGAGTGGGGCAGGGGAGGGGCGTGGGGAGGAGCCGATTGGGGGTAGTAGACTGGAGTCCCTGTCTGGCTCAGAAAGTGTCAAGTGCTTATAAAAACGGACTACCTCAGTTTTCAGTTCAGACTTTGGTTCATTTTGATACAATTAAAGTCCCAGTTGTATCAAGTAAATTTGTGTCTCAGGTATTCAGGAACAGAATTTACAGGAAGGAGGCAGAAGCCATGTCAGTAGACTTGAGTTGACAGCGTTAAAGAAACTGGCAGGCAGTTAGGAGGGCTCATGTAAATCCCTCTAATGTTCTCCTGAAAAACATCCCTTTCCCTTACTTATTTCTTAAGGATACATATTTTTGTTAAGACCAAATGAACATTCTAAAAATGTTATAAAAATGTTATAAATTATGCTTAAGATTAGTTTCAGCCTAATATGTTGGCTTAGAGTTTATGATTATATGAAGAAAAAACATAAATTAATGAAGTTTAAATAGTTTTAGGAAGATATGTAAATAAGTATACCAGAGTATTCTTTAAAATTCAGTATCAATATTCTCTTCAATATTAGAAGACTCACTGGGTGAAACCATCTGTAAAGTGACTAGATGCTTTCTCAGAATCTGTCCAGCTCTAATATTCCGTGACTAATGCTGAACCAGAATAGCTAGGTCACTGCTGGCTCTGACGCGCCTTAGAGGATGCCAGCTCCCACGTCGTGTTCATCACAGTGTCTTGTGCTTGATGCCTTGGACGCTGAGTGGAAAGAGAAGAGCCTGTCTCTCAGGGCATTTGGGCCGCCCTGGCAGGGGAAGATGGACTTCCGTCACAGCCCCGCACACCCACTTATAGTGCGCTCCAGTCATTCGTGCCCTGTCCTTGCATCCCAGGAGGACTAACATGTTACTAAAGACTGTGCTACTCATTCTGAAGAAAGAACGTACCTGAAGGGATGACCTTTGTTCTTTTTTTGGATACACTTAGCCAGAGTTGAGGAAGGAATGCTGAATTATTTTCTTTTATGTTTATATTTTTAATAAATAAAATAGAAGATTTAAAACTAATCTTTATTTATGGTATTGAACTTCAAGTGTAATATATTCCTTAAAAAAACACAACTTTAATAAAAATGGAAACTAATCTGCATCATGTTTTTTTTTTAAAAAAAAGTATTGATTTCAGAGAGGGGAATGGAGAGGGGAGAGAGAGATAGAAACATCAATGATGAGAGAGTCACTGATCGGCTGCCTCCTGCACGCCCTCCACTGGGGATGGAGCCCGCAACCCGGGCATGTGCCCTGACCAGGAATCAAACCACAATCTCCTGGGTCCTAGGTTGATGCTCAGCCGCTGAGCCACACCAGCCAGGCAAGCACTGTCAGTTTTTAAAATCCTGGGTGAGGACCGCAAATACAGCCAGCACTCTGTTTGGGGAAGATGAGGTGTTTGTTATGAAGCATAATTCTGTTTAGTTTTTAACGGAGTAAAATTGTCCTACTTAAAGAGTGAGGACAGATGTTATGCAAAGCTGCAGGGAATAGCCCTCCTCAAATAGTTAAGCCAAAAAGGGAGCAGACGAACAATTCAGGGCAGCCACCTCTGGCTGAAGATTATTCTGGTCCCTTTTGTTCTGTGCTGTGGGCCAGGAGTTGCATTGCATGACCTCCCTGGCGCATTCAAATACCACACTGTGTGGCAGCGGCAAGTAAATGGTGCCTGTAGTCTCAGAGTGTGATTCTTCCTCATAACCTGAAAGCAGTTTGAGAGCATGTATGTACCTGGGCCGTGCCTTCACCGTGTGCACTTGGAGCCACTCTGCCCTGTGGCAGGGAGCCAGGGGCTTGGTGAAATTGACTGAACACGGGCTATGCGACCGCATTGCTGAGCTGAAATCTTTGTGGGAAATTTTAATATTTAGAATTTTTTGAGGTTTAAATATATTACCTGTTTACACTTTTTGGTATGTTCATAGAATATAGGTTATTTAGTAGGTGTTATTACATAAACTAATCTTTTGTCCACAACCTCCAGGTTCATGGGTCGACACTCAACCACTGAGCGCCACACCGGCCAGACTGAATTATCCAATATTAGGGGTTTTTTCCCTCTTATGTTTTTCAAAGTGTGGTGCCTGGACCAGCCACACTCATTAGAAATGCAAATTCTTGGGCCACACCCCAGATCTACTGAATCAAAGACTCTAGGGGTGCGATCCTGCAATCTGCTTTCTAACAAGTCCTCTAAGGAATGCTCTTGCAAACTCAAGTTTGCAAACCACTGCCCTAAACTCTTGTGGCTCTCACCAGAATCCACCTGATGAAGTTCCAACTGTGGATGAACCCAGTTATGTGCCTCGGTCTTACTTTACCTGGACAACTGAGCCCTGCTGGCAAAAAATACTCAACTGAGTACTAATTGGTGTCATTTTAAACTCACAGTCACATCCTCAACTGGGTTCTGCCAGGCAATCTCTCCACTAACCCCCCCCCCCCC